AGTCACTTCTTTATATATTTCTTTTCTTTTTCTTTATTATATTCTTTCTTTTCTTTTTCTTATTTCTTATTTCTTTTTTCCTATACTTTTTATTCTTTTTTCTATTTTTTTCTTTCTCTGACTTCAGTTTGTATTAATTTTTACTATTGTAATCAAAATTCTTAATAAAATTATATTTTAAAAAAAATTCACTTTACCTATCCTTTCAGAGATAACCATTTTCCTGAAATAGACTTCCCTCTGTCTCAGACAATTGTGGACTTCTGTTCCAGACTCCTAAGGTTACTAGAGAGATGAAATGACCCTTGTTTCTCTTCTCAGCCTTGGTTGTTCAGTGATGCCACAGTTAGCTTCAATGTTGATTCAATTCAGAAATGGCTGACTTTTGGTGAATGTGGGATGGGGTTTGTCTGCACATTCATACAAGATTAATAAAATTAAATACCAGATATGAACAGATTTATAGCTGAAAGGGGCCCTGAGGCACTAAATTTTCTCCCTATATTTCAATTTCTTTATTTCTTTATGAACTTTCATTATTAAAAGCAATCCAAGAAATGGCATCCACCCTGAATTTTCAGGGTGGCTACATGCTTAGGTGTGAAGAGATCAATCTGGATCAAGAATCTAACAAGGGAAGTAAGTTTTAACTTGTTGCCCATGCGATATCTTTGTCCGCAACTGACAGCCCAGCATCTGCTACATTTGTAACAACAAAAATTAATTAATTAATTAATTAAAGGCCAAATTTTAAATTTAATTTAAAAGTGAAAATGATAGACCTACCTTTGTATGTATTTGCTATCTCTTGCTACATCCTTAATTCAAGGATTTCTTCATATACATTAGGTTCCATTATTATAATAATTGTTGGTTTATTGACATGGCATAATTTCTGCAATGGCTTAGCCTCTGCACAGAAGAAGGGTAAGATCTTGATAAAAGTTCCCCAAGAAGAGAATGCATTCCATTTCATATCCAACAACAGCCAGAAAATCAAGTTGATTTCCCTGTTATACTGTAGTTGTTGCCATTCTTTCTTTAAAAATATTAATCAAAACTTCAGACATCCTATTACTTAGAGTCGTATGAGCAGGTAGCATACAATATTTGAGCATAAATAAATTAGAAAGCAT